ATTACATTATGGAAAATAATGACCTTTATCACAATATGCTAATTTTTTGAGAAGGACCTGTATATCTGGACCTACCATTCTGTGTCTGTCTGTCTCTCCTTCCTGTCCTCTCAACCAGCCGGTCAAAGCAGATGGTCTCTTGTCCTGATCCTGGTTCTGCTGGAGGTTTCTTCCTGTTAAAGGGAGTTTTTCTTTCCACTGTCACCACTGTGCTTGTTCAGGATGGGAGACTGCAACGAAGCCAAGATTCATCTTGTCTGCTGGATTCCTTAGATAGAGAACTTTACTAATTGGCTTTTATGTGAATGTTCCTGTAAAGTGTCCTGAGACAACTTTGTTGTGATTTGGTGCTTTATAAATAAACTGAATTGAACTGAATTGAATTGAATTTTGAGAAATGACAGAGCAGTAACCATTTTGGTCAAATCTTCAAAATAATTGTATGCATTTTCTCTTGAGGTATTGTGAGATGCTGTCCTCGGAGTATGTGATGTAAACTGGATTGATTCCAAAAGTGAACAGTACACTGAATGATTACTTTTTAAAATTTGTCCAGTCGTACACAAAATATTTTTCTAACAGACAAACAGAGTTGACTACAAATAGCTAATGACAAAGTTTTAAGCAATGTATAATTTGTAATCCAAAAAAGTCTTCATCTCTTGAAACTGAGCCTGCAGTCAACCTACTTCACATATGGGGAGCAATATTATAGGCAGAAACATGGGTGTGCTATGGGGTCTCCAGTTTCTCCTATTGTTGCCAACCTGTACATGGAGGAGGTAGAAAAGAGAGCCTTGACGTCCTTTTCAGGGACACCACCAAGTCATTGGTTCAGGTATGTTGACGACACCTGGGTTAAAATTAAATCTCAGGAAGTCCAACATTTTACTGACCACATCAACTCTGTGGATAAACACATCAAGTTCACACGAGAAGATGTAAAAAATGGCAGGTTGGCTTTCTTGGAGTGTGAGGTCTCAGTCTCTGATAGAGGACATTTGCAAACTGAGGTGTACCGCAAACCCACCCACACAGACCAGTATTTGCAGTTTGACTCCCATCACCCTTTGGAGCACAAGTTAGGAGTCATCAGGACTCTGTACCACAGAGCAGACAGAGTCCCCACTAACTCAGGAGCCAGGCAGAAGAAGAAATCCCACACAAGACAGGCTCTAGAGCAATGTGGATATCCTAACTGGGCCTTCCTGAAAGCAGAGAAGAAACCCAAACAGGACTCCAGTCAGCCATCAGGTGAAAGGGAGGAACCCAGACCCAGACCAGTGGTCATTCCATATGTTTAGGGAGTATCAGAGAAACTGAGACGTTTATTTTCTAAACATAACGTCCCAGTGGCTTTTAAACCCCAAAATACATTACGGCAAAGACTGGTTCATCCCAAAGATCCAGTCCCCCGGCACAAACAGAGTAATGTTGTGTAGGTTGTTCAGTGTCAGGAGGGTGATCAGTCTTACATCGGGGAAACTAAACAGCCACTGGCCAAAAGGATGGCCCAGCACAGAAGATCGACATCATCAGGCCAGGACTCTGCGGTCTACACTCATCTCCAGGCCAGAGGTCACTCTTTCAGGGATGAAGATGTGCACATCCTGGACAGAGAGGAACGATGGTTTGAGAGAGGAGTAAAGGAGGCCATCTTTGTGAAAAGAAACCGTCCATCGTTAAACAGGGGTGGAGCCTCCAGGTTCAACTGTCCCCCTCTTACAATGCTGTGATTGCTAGTATCACTCAGCCCTCTGTGAACAGTAAACAGTCATCAGTGTGCTAATGATCCATTGTTAGACTGAGGAAGTCCTCAGGATGAGAGACGAAACGTTTCTATATTTTTTTGCTTTGTTTTTTGTTTTCTTGTTTTTTTGAATGTCCAGAGGACCAGATTGAACTTTTTTGGATTTTTCTACCTGGATTATTGAGCATGCATCTGGAAATAATTTGTAATCTCTCAGAATGTGTTAATGATTAGACTCAGCAACTACGACACCAAAGTTTAGCTCAATATCTTTAAAAGTAGCTGAGCTATATATATTTATGTGTTATTTTTAGCTAATTTAGCTGTGGCGGCCATCTTGAATTGAATTAGCAGCATCCCAGATGAACATTCAATAATTACTTTTTGGAAGTGTCATAAAACAAATCATGTACTGGTTCATGAGAAGGCAACATGGTGGCTCAGTTGGCAGACCTGTTGCATCTCACCAAGAAGGTTGCTGGTTAAAATCCTGGCCAGGGGCCTTTCTCGGTGGAGTTTGCATGTTCTCTTCGTGCTGCGAGGGTTTTCTCTGGGTGCTCCAGTTTCCTCCCACAGACCACAAACATGCATGTTAGACTGATTGGTAACTCTGAATTGTCCCTAGGTGAGAGAGAATAATTGTTTGTCTCTATGTGTCCCTGTGATGGACTGGAGACCCGTCCAGGGTGTCCTCCGCCTCTCGCACAGTGATTGCCGGACATGGGCACCGGTGACCCCCCGCGAACCGAAAAGGAAGAAATGGGTAAAACTAATGGATGGATGGTTCATGAGATATTTTCCTAACAGACAGGCACATTAAGACACTGGTAAGAACATCATTCCACTTTTGGCAGCAAGCAACAAAGATGTTTTGGCTGACATGCAGTACTTGCAACAGTTAAAATGAACATAAACAAAGATTTACCAGAAATGAACGTTTAAATGGGTAACTATTGGCAGGTTCAACATTTATTACATCACACAAGGAAGTGCTGACAAACAGCTCAGAACAAGGGAGGGGGAAAAGGAGAGATAAAATCCCTCAGGCTACCAGATCCCAGCACTGAGGAGGAAGTAGAGTTCTCTTTTACAGTCGTTCTCATTCTTCCACACACCGAGGTGTTTGTCAGAGCGTGTGAGTGAAAGGAGCAGCCCACACCTGCCATCGGAGAGAGGGCCACTCACACTGTCTGCGACCCACCGCTCACTGAACATGTAAGTCCAAACTGTTTTCATCGACTGGCTGTGCTGCTGGTGTTAAACGTGCATGTTTCAGACTTGTTAAAGCTTGTCATGTCACGCCTCAGGCGAGTAGGGGAACATGTAGTGGTCTGACAGTGGTTCCAAAGACCAAACATAGAGGGACAAGTGAGACAAACACAGTAAATCAGTTTTAAAAGTCGAACCTTCTGTCTGGATATCCAGTGAGCAGCACCACCATGTGCTTTGGTGCCGTTTGGATCCAAGTTGGGCAAAGTCAAGCCTCGCGCAGACAAAAAGTCAAATGCTTTGTAACAGGTGTCTGATTTTCTTCTGTGAGGTTTTAAGGGCGGCTGTGGCTGAGTGGTTAGAGAGGTCACCCTTCAGTGGGAGAGTTGGGGGTTTGATTCCACCAGCAGTCACATGTTGAAGTGTCCCTGGGCAAGACACTGAACCCCTCGTTGCCTCTGATGTGTGTCCCATCAGTGTATACAGCTTTGATTAGTCTTTGTAGACATCTAGTATAGAGCTGTATGAATGGGTGAATGAGGCACAGAGTGTTGTAAAGAGCTGTATGAATGGGTGAAGGAGGCACAGATTGTTGT